GGGGGTGGCGGACACAAAAAAAAAAAAAAAAAAAAAAAAAAAAAAAAGGTATGTTTACACTATACTGTAGTCCATGCAATAGCCTCCTGGGTTTTCTGAGGAATCTGAACTCTAGGATTTAAATGAGAGAAGAAAAGCCCACAGCTAGCTAAGATACTCTTAAATACAAAGAGGAGACAGGGACGCTTCCTAGCACACACGAGGCTTGGGTGGTGCCCAAAGAGCAGACTGATGGCGCTGTAGGGAGAGAAGGTGGCGTGTCGCACGGGTGGGCAGGGGAGGAGACGTAACGAGGATCCTTCTGGCCACACACGAAGGTGGCACCAGGCAGACCTAGGCCTCCACGTGGAAGAGAAAACTATAAAGTTAACACAAGACATATAAGCGAATACCTCTGGGCATAGGCCAAGAAAGAACTTTCTAAGCAAAACATTAAAAACAAACCACGGGCTTCCCTGGTGGTTCAGTAGTTAAGAATCTGCCTGCCAATGCAGGGGACACGGGTTCGAGCCCTGGTCCAGGAAGATCCCACATGCCACGGAGCAACTAAGCCCGTGCGCCACAACTACTGAGCCTGCGCTCTAGAGCCCACGAGCCACAGCTACTGAGCCTGCACGCCGCAACTACTGAAGCCTGTGTGCCTAGAGCCCGTGCCCCGCAACAAGAGAAGCCACTGCAACGAGAAGCCCATGCACCGGAACCAAGAGTAGCCCCCGCTCACCTCGCCGCAACTTGAGAAACCCGCGCACAGCAACGAAGACCCAACGCAGCCAAAAATAAATAAACAAATTTATTATAAAAAAAAAAAGAAAAAGAAAAACCATACGGCGAAAATAATGGCAAATTTGGTTGCGTCAAAATCAAGGACACCAGGGACTAGTCAGCAGGCACGCCGAGGGGAGGAGCTGAGCCCTGGGGTTCGTGAGGGATCCTGCACACTGAAGTCAGCCAGCAGCTCCAGAAGGAAGTGTGAGAAAGGCAGAAGCAGCCGATTCACATCTGCGAGATTCTGCCTGACCAGATCTGCTGCGTAAGCCTGGTCCAGGGCCGCCCTGCCGGTCACTCACCCCAAACACTCCCACCCGGGCCCCGGGCACAGAGGAGGAGGGGCAGGGCCGCCCCGGGCTGCAGGGTGCGCGCAGCTTAAGAGCAGTGTCCTGCGGCAGGGGCACAGCCCACAGCCCCCCGTGCACAGGAACACGCTGGGCGGTGGACGCACGCAGGACGAAGGATGACAGGAAGAGCCTGGGCCTGGAGGGTACGAGGATGGCAAACCACATCCTCTCGCCGTATCAGGGATCCCCAGGAAGCACCCCCGCAACCATCCCGCCAGACCAAGGACAGGTGATGGAATGGGTGAAGCATGACCCTAACCCTACAGCCTACTGATGAGAAACACACCTAAAGCGCATGGGAAAGGACTGCCGTTCAGAGGCAAATACTAACCACGGAGAAACTGGCCGACGCCAGTTCCAAAGCACACGTCAAGGCAAAAAGCATCAGCAGGTACACAACGTAACGACAAAGGAAAAATGCATCAGGACACCTAACTGCAAATCTATATGCAGCCGATCCACAGCTTCCACACACAGGCAGCAGCAGTGCGAGACAGGAAGGAGGGACAGACCAATTCCACCGTCTGGGGAGACTTTACCTCTCAGAATCGATACCTCAGGTAGACAAAAAATTAGTAAGAAACTCAATTGACACAATTAACAGATTTGACCTAACAAACACACAGAGAACCCTGGACCTAACAGAGAACAGAAATTTTTTTTTTTTTTTTTGCGGTACGCGGCCCTCTCACTGCTGTGGCCCCTCCCGTCGTGGAGCACAGGCTCCGGATGCGCAGGCTCAGCGGCCATGGCTCATGGGCCCAGCCGCTCCGCGGCATGTGGGATCCTCCCGGACCGGGGCACGAACCCGCGTCCCCTGCATCGGCAGGCGGACTCCCAGCCACTGCGCCACCAGGGGAGCCCAGAGAACAGAAATATTTGAAGTGGTCCTGAAATCATTTATAAAAATTCAGGATTCAGGTTACAAGGCAGGTCTCAAAAACAAATCATGCTTTCTGGCCAAAATGAAATTAAGTTCACAGTCAAGCACAAGAATGGAGAGTAACCTACAGTTTTGGAAATTAAGACATTTCTAAATTACAAACGAGTCAAAAAAGCAATCATAATTAAAAGTAGAAAATATTTAAAATTGAACAATGAAAATTCTACATACCAAGAGTTGTGTAATAGAACTAAAGGAGTATATGCTGAGGGAAGCATGACTGCAAAAGTTCGTTTCAAAAGAAACAGTGAAAATAGATGAGTTAAGTTTCCAAGAATAAGTTAGTAAAAGACTGAGAAAAAAATGTCCAATAAATAGAAGAGCAGTGACACAAAAGAGGCTCTTGAGAGCCGGGGCGGGTTCTCTGAGAAGACTGAGCATGCGGAAACCCTCCAGGAACCCGCACGAGGCACGGCAGCAGGAGCAAAGGGCCTGTGCGGACAAACGTCCACGAAGGAAGGGGCAGCAGCAGGGCAGCCTATGCCAACGTGTCTGTGACTTAGATCAGCAGGCCTCCATAAAACAGGGCTTCAGACAGTAAATGCCTGAACATTCCTGCAAGCAGTAAAGAAAAGGAACCAGTAGTTAAAACTCCGTCCACACAGGTCACAGGCCTGGCTGGTGAGCAAGCGCTCTTGGCCAGACACTCTAGGAGCAGACGACGTTTCAGAGGAAACGCTCCCACTGTTGATAAAAAGCCAAGACACACAGAACAAGGAGAAAAGTATAGGCCATTTTCACCTATCAACATGGGAAAAAAGTCCTAAATAAAATATTAGCAACCTGAATCTATTTTAAAAATTACACAGAGTATCCCAGGAACACATGAGAGAGATGACTGTTTAAAAATGCTGATTGGGCTTCCCTGGTGGCGCAGTGCTTGAGAGTCCGCCTGCCGATGCAGGAGACGCGGGTTCGTGCCCCGTTTCGGGAAGATCCCACATGCCGCAGAGCGGCTGGGCCCGTGAGCCATGGCCACTGAGCCTGCGCGTCCGGAGCCTGTGCTCCGCAAATGGGAGAGGCCACAACAGTGAGAGGCCCGCATAACGCAAGGAAAAAAAAAAAAGAAAAATGCTGATTGTAGTAGTGCCTGGGGCTGCTGGAGCCAGCACCACAAAGTGGGCATCTTAAAAGAACAGACATTCACTCTCTCACGGTCCTGGAGGCTGGAAGCCCAGGATCAAGGTGCCAACAGGGCCGGCTCCTCCTGGATGCTTGGAGGGAGTCTGTTCAGGCCCCCATCCAGCTTCTGGTGGGGCCAGGCATCCTTGGCGTCCCTCGGCTTGCGGCCACAGGGCTCCAGCCTCTGCCTCGGCCGTCAGGGTACTGTCCTGTGCATCTCTGTCTTCTTGCAAGGACGCCAGTCCTGCGGGACTAGGGCCCTGCCCACTCCAGCGTGGCCCCATCTCAGCTTAACTAATGATGTCTGCAGCAGCCCTATTTCTCCATAAGGCCACATTCACAGGTGCTGAGAATTAGGACTTCAGCATATCTTTTGGGGGACAAAATTCAACCCACAATAGACTAAGAAAATGTACTGGATAAGGTTCCGCATCCATTCATGCTAAAAAGCCTAATAATAGAAAGGGATGCCGCAGCCTGATGGCCAGTGTCACAGTGTTACACGGACAGCAGGCCAGCAGCCTGAGCACAGGGACAAGCCATCCCTGGTTCATCCTCACTGTGAAAGTGCTGACCAGCTTGGGACAGCTGGCCAGTGTCACAGGCAACCCAGGAGACAGACGGTGAACCCTACTGAAACTACCGAGAGCGCAGCAAAAGTGTAAAAACAGGCCTGACATAAAAATTCACGTCTGTATACCAGTAACGATCATATGACTTTATATGGTACCTAAAGATAAACCTTAAAAAAATATGCAAGTCCTTTGTGGAAAAAAGTGTAAAATGCACCACCTTCATCTATGGGATAAGGGGACATAATCAAGGTGCCTACTCCCCACAAGTCCAACACAATTCTAATCCATGTCCGAACAAGGCTTCTTGTGGGAACCCGATCCCAAGCCGACCCCATGATCCGAGTCACCACGCTGCATCCAGGACACTTTTGCAAAGAAGACACTCCCACCCACAGATAGCGGGCATGGGTGCTGGACACGTTGGTCGACAGAATTCTAAAGAGTCCAGTCCCTTCACCTGACCGCAAGGATGAGCCAGCACCCATCACAACCCAAGGCGAACAGGAGGGTATCTGAGCCCAAAGGCTGTCAGATCTGCGGGACGGGAGGAAGCAGCCAGCCTGAGCTCCATGAGGACACCAGAAGGGCGGAAGGCTGCTTTTAAAACTCAGCCGTTGGCTTCCTCCTTGGGGCTCATCCCGGGCTCTGGCTCCTGAGGACAGCTCCCAAACAGCCTGTCAGCCCGCTCAGGCCCACCTGCCCAGGCCTCAGGCTCTGGCCCGAGCCCAGTGTGTGTCCAGCACCCACACTGACCTGCCCCCACGCGTGTCCGGCTCCCCATGCTGTACAGGAGCAGCACAGCCAGTCTCGAGTCCCAGCACATCCGACTCTGCCCGTCTGCCCCCCGCACCCTCGGCACACAATGCCACCGTCCCTGGCCTGGCACGTCATTCTCCAAGGAGCAAAGGGACCCACCGTGTAAGTCGGCTTTCGACTGCTTTGTGATTTCCACCGTCCCCAGGTGAAACCCAGCCTGCCCAGCCCCTTTCCCGCCACCCTGTCCCCGCCCAGCCTCCAATTTCAGATCCTCCCTGGCATTTTTCTGGTAACTTCCGGCCTGTTTGGTTTTCTCCAGGGCACATATCATCCAGCCATTCCTTCCGGACTTGGTCCCTTGAATGCTGGGCCCTGGGGTCGACTCTGGTGCCTGGGACAGGGTCTGCTGAGTGCCAGCTCTGGGGTGCAGGCACTCGGGGTTCAGGCTCTGGAGTATGGGCACTTGGGGTGGGCCACAAGAGCTGGGGGGAGACGTCCAGATGTGAGACGCCAGCAGGAGGTGGGAGCCCTCACTGTTCGCCAGTCCAGGAGGGAAAGCAGCCACCTCTGCACACAGCCACGGCGGCCGCTGGATAGGGCAGACACTTCCTGGGCTCTGCCTCGCTGCCGACCACCTCAGTCCTTCCTTTGTAAAACGGGGGTGACCCCCTCACCTCCCTCCCAGGATGCTGGTGAGATCTGTCAAGCTTGGGCAGGGGTGCTCGGTGCCAGGTGGTACGGATCCCCACGTATCTGCGTCCCGAGATCGACAGGCTGGTCTGCCTGGGGAAGACACCCGCTCCTCACGCGTACTCTGCGGGGCCAGCTCCGGGGTCCCGAAAGAGCCAAGCAATTCCACAAGTAGCCAGGAAACCTCCAGCCCCAGGCAACAGGTCCGGAGGGCAGAGCAGAGCAGCCCTGGCTGCCCGCCGGGCTCCGCCCCCGGTGGGGGCAGGGGAGCGCGGCCCTTCCTCCCTGCACAGGGTCCCACCCCCAGGAGGCAGGCTGCTGCGGCCCCCGCGGCCCCCGCACCGCGTGCCCGGCCGGCCTCACCTGCCGCTCTCCGCCGCGAGCACGGCCTGCCGGCTGGCTCGCCCCACAGTCTCCTGCACCTGGTCGCCGGCATCCAGCTCGGGCTCCAGGGACGAGCTGGTGCTGCCGTCATGGCTGACGCTGCTGCCCCTCCCAGGGCTGTTCTCAGCCGAGGCTCTGGGGGAGTCGGTGTTCTGCTTCAGGGTCTGCAGCTTGGCCAAGGGGATGATGTCGCAGTCCTGCGGCCGGTGCCACACCGTGCGCTGGGTGGTGGCGTTGTAGTAGTAGAAGCGCGACGTGTTGGGGTCGAAGAGCTCCCACCACTGGTTCTCGCTGGTGCGCTTGATGCGCACGCCGGCCGGCGGGTCCCACACGCACTCGCCCGTGACCAGGTTGGCGTACATGCGCTCGCGCGTGCGCGGCTCGATGATCTCCACCCACTCCAGCCTGGGGAGAGGGGCGGCAGCGTTAGGGTGCGAATATCCTGCCCATCGGGCCACCCTCCCTGCGTCCCGTGTCTGAAGAATGGCTCATCCAGCACCAGACCCGTCCTCATATCTGCCAGCCTCAAAAGCAAGAAATCTTGTCACTTATAAAACCGACGCAAACCTAAATTCCACCCACTTCTGATTTTCTACATGCTCGTTAGGGCCCAGCCCTGGGAGTGGTGGGGATCTTCCAACTGGCCCCTCTCTGCTGGCCCCACATTAGGGATGCCCTGGGTTCTGGCCCCCTGTCCTCAGAGGGCCTGGACCACGTGCACTGCCCTCACTCCTCCCAGCCAGGGCCCAGGTCCCCACAGGATGCCCTGGCTGCTCTTAGCAGCCACTGCAGGCCGCCACCACCCGTCCAGCTGCAGCAGAAGCGGACTCCACCGTTACTGTGATGCCCCAGTCAAAAGCGGAGATGGTTCCCCCCAGAGGCCCCCCACCCCAAGCAGAGGGCTTCCATCCACGTAAGACCTTTTTTTTTTTTTTTTTAAGAGTGTAAATTAAAGCTGTTCAGAACAAGGCAATTATGATGCCGATGTGTTTGATATCAGGGTGTGCTCCAGCTGACAAGGAGCATTTTTTATCCTGCTTCCAAGTTTCAACAAACAACAATCTTAAATGCCATGCGCTGCTCTGCAGTGTGGATGCACCGTGTCCACTGTTCCTGGACTCTGTGATGGGCCTGGTCCTCACCACCACTGGGATGGTCAGGAGCTTCCAGGGCTTCGGAGAGAAGGGGAGGCACCCTGCTCCTTGCCCTCTGCCGAAGGTCCAGTGTTTCACTTGGGAGCCCGGGTGGGCTTTGGCAGAGGGCTGAGGGGGCAGCCCTTCTCTGAGGACCTCATCCTTCTCTGGGAACCTCATCCCTACTCTTTGAGGCCAGACGTGCTTGGGGTGGGGAGGAGAGAAGGCACAGTCCTGCGGGCGATGAGCCCCGATTGCTTAGGATGCGCGCGCGCGCGCACACACACACACACACACACACACACACACACACACACACACCCCTGCCCCGCAGCAGCCCTGCAGGCTCTAGGGCCTCTTTCTGGGTCCACAGTCATTTCTGGAAGCTGGCTGAGCCAAGGCAGGCTAGCACAGTGGGCAGGGCACAGCAGCTGAATGGTGTGGAGCCACAGAGAGGGCAGGAGATGAGGAGGGAGCAGGAAAGAGGGAGAGCCCTGAGGATCCTCAGGGCTGGAGGAGGAAGTGCAAAGTGGGCCCGGCCTGTGCGGCTTGGCCACGTCTGAGCGGCCTCCCCCCACCCCGGTCATCCAGCCAGCGAGCCCCCTCTCTCTCCGAGCTGCAGCCCTCCCGTCTCCCTCTACCTGCGGTCACACTGGGCAGCTCTCGGTGGGGGAGGGCACTGGGGCTCCGTGCTTGCCCATGTGGGACCGCTGCCTAACCTGCCATCCTGTAGCGGAAGGAGCAGGGCTGGGTGGGCATCCTGGGGTCAGACGGCTTGAGGGACAGAGGCCGTGAGGTGGTGTCCTAGACGTAGAGGACAGGAGGCAGACCTCGCAGCACTGAGTGGACCAGCCCCTGCCCTGCTTCTCTGCCTGGTGGGAGTGTGTGGCCCTCTCACGCCCTCCTGTCCTCTCGCCCCCTCCTGCCTGGATCCCCACGGCCGCCAGCTGGCCATTGTCCACACAGAAGACGGAGCAAACTTCTAACTTTGGGAACTGGGTACTTTTAACCAGGAAGCTGCGGGCCCTGCGGCCGGCTGCACTGCCCTAGGATGGAAGGCACCGCCAGTGCAGCTCAGCGGGCGCCCCACGTTCAGCCAGAGGATACGGGTGCCACCAGGCTTGGAAGCTGGCGGGCACTGCCTGAGGGCGCCCCCCCACCCAGGGACGAAGGCGCCTGGAGACCAGGCCAGGAGCTGGGGGTCTTGCTCCCGTGAGGAAGGAAGCCCTGAGGTTCCGAGATTGCCCTCAGCTGACCGCCTGCTCTCCCCTTGGGCCGCGGCATGGGATCGGCTGGGACGAAAGGCAGACGCTACCCAAGGAAGGGCAGACCCAGCAGAGATGCTCAGAAAGCACTGGACCGAACACTCTGAGCCCCAGGGAAGCGATAACAATTCTTATTTTTCCTCTAAATACACTTTCAAATGAATCTAATGGCGATAATTCTCTCTGAATAAAGAAAAACATCTGTTCCCTTTTCAGCGCATCCCTGTGTGCACGTGGGCAGGACCCCGCCTTTTCAGAAGAACGTTCTGGGCACTCCCAGAACGGCACTGAACCAAGTCCCCTGGGACCCAGGGCGCAGAGAACGTGCTGGAACCTGGAGCCTGGGGAGGGCTGGGAGCGAGCGGGGCCCGAGCAGACCCCATGGCAGGGAGGGGAGGGCAGACCTCGTCCCCGAGGTCGGTGCTGTCCACACCTAGCACCTGGTCAGTGGGGGCTGCAGAGCCTAAGGATGCTTGGTCCCTGGGCGCGTGATGGAGGAATGGTGCTGAAACCACTCTGGGGCTTCCCTGCCAGTAGGAAGGGTCGGGACCTGTGGGTGACAGACTGATCACAGTGACCCACCCACACCATCGGAATGGAGTTCGAGGGAGATTTATATGGCGACGATGTCTAACATGAGTTGGGTAGGAAAGGATGAGCCATTTGGGGAAAGAGCCGGAAGAGTCAAGGTGACAGCGGTTTCCTGGGTGTGACGCTGCCGCGGCCTCTCCCCGTGTGCCGGGCAGGCTGCGCGGACGAACTGCCTCTTTCCTCCAAGTCGTGGAGATGTTTGCTCGCAGACAATGACCTGTTCAAATACTTACTTCCGGGGAGAGCCTCACGAGTGCCAAGTATGTCCCAGGCAATCTGCCAGGTGAAAGGGAGGCGAGTGTGACCAAGCACAGCCCCTGCAGTGGGGATCCTGCAACAGCAGAGGCAGGACCGTTCACCAGGGAAGGGGCAGCCTCTCCAGCAAACGGTGCTGGAAGCGGAGGCCTCTGGGCAGGAGGGTGACGCTGGCCCCTAGCTCACGCCACACACAGGAAGCTCATGCCTAGCAGTGACTAAGAACCCAGAGGCACTAAAAAAAGATCAGCAAATTGTAAAGTAAAAAAGATTTGGTTTCTTTGGACACATTTGGTGAGAATATTAAATATTTGCAATATAAATTACAGATAAAAGGTTATATACTTAATACATAAATTTGAACAAGAAGAAAACAAATATACTATAGGAAAACGGGCAAAAGATAAGAACAGACAATTCTTAAAGTAAATAACATATGTGAAATGTCCCACTTTACCTGGCATCAGACATAAAACCCACGCCACACTGAGGCCTCCAGCCCCCGGGCACCACATCCAGGCCCGAGCCTCATCCTGGGGGAGGCTGTGGGCAGACGGGGGCAGCGTGCAGGGCCCCACGGAGGGCACGTGAGGGCACAACATCTCCAGCCCAGCAACCCCTACCCCAATCTCCCTGAAGACACACCACCAAGAAAACAAAATGACACAAGCACCAGGCGCTCACCGCAGCATCACTCCTAACTGCATGCTAACTGGAAACACCTACACTGAACACGGGGCTGGTGGGCCACCACACCCAGGAGGCTGCAAAGGGGGCCACCTCTGGGGCCCGAGGTCCAGGGCACCCTTCCAAACAGAGACATAGGAGATAAACCAGATAACCTCCTGCAAGAGGTAGGTGGGGCACGCAGAAGGTCCAGGGCGGGGGGGGGGGGGGGGGGGGGGGGGGGGGTCCTTCTCTGAATATAAATACCTTTTGAATAGTTTTGTCTTTTGAAAGCATGCTAAGGGTCTACATGTTTAAAAAACAAAATTAGGGACTTCCCTGGCAGTCCAGGGGTTAAGACTCGGCGCTTGTACTGCCGGGGGCCCAGGTTCAATCCCTGGTTGGGGAACTAAGATCCCATAAGCCGAGTGGGCACGGCCAAAAACACCAAACCAAAACAAACCAAAACAAAATTAAATCAATAAGAATGGAAAGGGAGAGGAAAAAACCTCAAACTGAAACAAATGGACGCAACTGTATTTCGATGAACATCATATCCACAAGAGGGAGAAGAAAGCTAACCCAGTGTGAGCACAGGACCAGACTCCATTC